AGAAAAAAGCCTTTACAATAATCTTTTGGTAAAGCAGACAAATGTAATCATAAGCTCTTTTTAAAAAATCTGATGAATAAAACCATCAAACCTTAGCTAGATTTGACTACAGTGAATAAAATTTCCTTTCCATGAACCTTCTATATTAATTCTGGTTTTGTCCTACAAGATAATACCGTCATTTTACCTTAGAACAAAATCACTCTCTTTTTCTTTAACAGAAATGTGTCCTGCACACCTTGCACACAAAGTTGGGCAGACCTGCTGCTACTGCTCCTGTTAGAGTTTCACTCACATATTATTTAGCCTTGGTAACTTCCATTTCACAGAGAAAGCTAGGAAGCAGATAGCTGTGAACTGTCTGTCACACACCAATACTTTTCAGTAGATGAGCTGAGCTCATGAATATACACCTCATAGCTTCTCATAACCATACCCATCCTTATAATACAACTTCTCAAAGTGGTAAAAATGAACTGTTTGTTGACAAAATCAAATGTATAGTCCCTCTGTAACATGTAAAATAAAAGGCAAAAAAAGTATATAAGCTTAAAATTATGCTTATATATTAATGTTTCAGTATTCCATCTTACTTTGAAATGATCTAGGCCTTCAATTAATATTTATTAGTTAGCTCAACCTAAATCTAAGGTTTTAAGTTTCCTAGGGATCTTAGAAATTATCTTCCTGCTGACATACTATAAAACATAATTACTGTTAAAATAAAGTTTGCTATTATAATGACTTTATTTGGTTAAACACAAATTTACATTTTTCATATCTTAAACATTAACAATCTTAAACATTACTGGTACTGGCTTGATCAATCAGTAAACCTGTGTGAGTTCATGTAGAACATTTCCAAGTAGAACAGAAATCTATGTATATGTTATTCTTAAATGTAATCAGAGAAGACATGGCTATTTTTATTAAATATTAAACAGATCTTGTTTGCCAAAGCTTTATCTAAATTATATGAACTTGAATTCCTAAAGCCTATCCAAGTTGCTTTCTATAAAGATAATTTTTAAGTCTAGCACATTAAAGTATCGGAGACTCAATTTCCTTAATTTCTGGGACTATTAGGAATATTGAATTTACATAAACGTGAACTTATTGCTAAACCATCAGAATAGAGCTCCTTTAAGAAATTTTATAATCTGATTTAGTAAACCATCTTAAGGTAGAGAAGTATTACACACCACACAATGAGAGGTAAAAGTCTTTCTGAATTACAGATGCATAATCATGCAGGCATAGAGATACCTTATAGCTTCAATTATAAAATTTCAGCCATGAGTCAAGCAAAAGCACATAATTGCAAAAGTTACTGGTTCATATCAAAGAGCTGTTTTCTTCACGGTGGGTATGAATCTTTAATTTATTTGAACTCTATATAGACAGGTAGATAAACAAGCAGAAAAGATTAACAAACCAGACTATTTGTTGTCTCTCACCCCAGAGAGAGATCTCTATAAACCATTGATCTTGTTCGTAGAGATCACCAAATGGTTAAAGTATGAAACCAAAGAAGCCAAAACCAGAAATCAACTGAATACTCAAAAGGAATCTAAGTCAAATACTTGGCATACTGCCAATGGAAAATAATGTAGAGCAAGGCAGGAGGAATCAGATACACTGGCCTCTTATCCTGGGTGGAGCAAATGGGTGCAAGACTGTCCAAGGTCACAACACCCCTGCTGTGAAAGACAAATGTACTATAAGTTAAGGAGATATTTTTTTTTCAGGCTATTGCAATAGGGATAACTCTCTTTAATGAGGAACACCTCAAAGATGTCCTAGAGAGAAAATCTGTGAGAAAATGTGAGGTATTTTAGTAGCAAATAAATGAAAGAGTCAGGAGGAAAGATGGACAGTGGGACTCATGAGCATTATCTTGGAATATGCAACAGCAGCATGGTCCTTTGTGGGTAGCCTTTTCCCAGAATATAACAGAATGGGGAGATTTCTTGACTATCAAACCCAGGGCTCAGGTAAAGTTTAACACTATCACCATCTTATCTTCCAGTACATTTAAACTGGTATGGAGGTTTAAGGGTTAGGATAGGTGTGAGGTGCAGAGCTGTGAGATTTAGAAACATCACTCAAGTGATTTGGATTATCCCTTCCAATGAAAGTCTCTTATTCTATAATTTCCCTTGGGTCAGAAATATGTGACATTGAAGAAGTTGTTGAATTTCCCTCGACATCTCTCTCCTAGTCAGCAAAATTAAGAAGTTGTGAACAAGTACGATGATGTTCACTGCCTATTTATCCATAAGAATTAAAATGTTGAAAACGACCTAAATGTATGTCAGTGGGGGATGAATAAATAAAGTGTTTTATATTTTATTTTTATATATAAAATGGGATATAGCGGGATACAGCATTGCACTTTAAGTATATTAATTTGATTTACATACATCGTCACAAATAGATCCTAAAAATACTATGTTAAAGAAAAGTAGAGAATGATACCAGCAGCAAAATACTTATATAAATTTAAACTCACAATTCAGAAACAATACTATAATATACATGTAAATGGGAAAACAATTTAAAATGGATAAGAGGAGTGCCTGGGAGGCTCAGTTGGTTAAGCATCTGCCTTCAGCTCAAATCATGATCTCAGGGTCCTGGGATCGAGCCCCACATCAGGCTCCCTGCTCAACAGTGAGTCGGCTTCTCCTTCTCCCTCTGCCTCCTGCCCCCTTCTCATGCTCGGTCTCTCTCAAATAAATAAATAAAACCTTTAACAAAATAAAAAAATAAAAAAATAAAATGGATGAGAGCTGGGATAGTCAGTTCCTAGCCATAGCCATGTATGGCAAGAAAGCACTTGGAATGTCATTAATCTAAATTGAGATGTGCTATTAAGTATAAAGTGCACACTGGTTTTGAAGATTTCTGATAAAAAAGGAAGTAAAATAGCACATTAACATTCTTTTCTGTTGATTTCCTATTGAAATTATATTTTGGATATATTAGGAATAATTTAAAATATATTATTTAAATTGCACTTTTTGTGGGGGGTTGGTTTCTTTTTAAAATATGGTTTGTAGATATTTAAAATTACATATGTGGCTCACATTATATTTCTAGTGGACAGTACTGAGCTAGAAAATTACATCTCAAACCTAGCACACTGGTTACTCTCAGGAGAAGAGGAAACAAGTAGCACTTGGGATGATATTTAACAGGGTCTTTCAGTAAGATTTAAATGTGTTGAAGCTAAATAGATTAGAAGCAAATATGAAAAAAAAATATTACTAATTCTGAAGTATGGGAGATGATTGCTATTCATGTCATTTTGTCTATGGTGTCTTTTTAATTTCTAAACAGGAAAAAAAAAACAGTTGGACCAAGCCTCCAAAAACTGACATAGCTCTCATTCCCATGTTTGACTAGATAAAATGAGTAGTGCACAGGAGTTTATTGAAAACTAGCTATGTAACCTTAGATAAGTCACCTAACTTTTGTGTTTCTCATTTTTCTTTTCTATAAAATTGAGTGGTTGAAGAGAATCTTCAAAGTTTCAAAACACCCCGATTTGTTCTTTATGTATAATTACAGGAGCCTAGTGTGGCAAATATGTAATACATTATTGTGAAAAAGCTTGTATTTATCAAAACAAATGTTTTTAATAGTACCCATGACATTGACCTAACATATTCCATCCAACTAGCTTGATGGATTTGTTCTAGAGATTTGGTATAAGTTGATTTAATAACCATGAAAATATTGGGTTCTTTTTCATTTCTTTATTTTTCTATAAAGAAATTTGCATCATGAAACTTGAAGCCACAAACTATTATGTAGAAGTTGTTGGTATTATGTGAAAGCTGTATAATGTTGATGATAGTAACTTGGGGGTAACTATATATGCAGCCTTTTCTCTTGACTCTCCATAAAGTATTTGGGCATGAGTAAATGTTTGGAAAAGATGTCTTACAGACAAATGAAGAAATGCTCAACATCACTTGGCTTCAGGGAAATACAAATCAAAACCACAATGAGATACCACTTGACACCAGTCAGAATGGCTAAAATTAACAAGTTAGGAAACAACAGATGTTGGCTAGGATGTGGAGAAAGGGGAACCTTTGTACACTGTTGGTGGGAATGCAAGCTGGTGCGGCCACTCTGGAGGTTTCTCAAAAAGTTGAAAATAGAGCTACCCTATGACCCAGAAACTGCACTACTGGGTATTTCTCCAAAGATACAAATGGAGTGATCTGAAGGGGCACCTGCACCCCAATATCTATGGCAGCAATGTCCACAATAGCCAACCTATGGAAAATCCCAGATGTCCATCAACAGATGAATGGATAAAGAAGATGGGGTATATATATATACACAATGGAATATTACTCAGCCATCAAAAAATGAAATCTTGTCATTTGCAATGACATGGATGGAACTAGAGGGCATTATGCTAAGTGAAATAAGTCAATCAGAGAAAGACATTTATCATATGATCTCACTCATATGTGGAATTTAAGAAACAAAACGGGATCATAGGGGAAGAGAGGAAAAAAATAAAACAAGATGATACCATAAAGGGATACAAACCATAAGAGACTCTTAATCACTGGAAACAAACTGAGGGTCCCTGGAAGAAAGGGGGGTGGGAGGATGGGGTAACTGGGTGATGGACATTAAGGATGGCACGTGATGTGATGAGCACTGGGCGTTATATAAGACTGATGAATCACTGACTTCTACCTCTGAAACCAATAATGCATTGTGTGTTAATTGAATTTAAATAAAATCTTTTTTAAAAGTGCTCTAAAATTTATTATTTTAACAGGAAATCAAATTCTAGCTTTTTGTAAGCATAATATTTGGCAATAAAGAATACACAGAAAACTTTTCTTATGGATAAATCCATCAATACCAAGCCAACTTCCATAACAATTTTAGGATGTTTTACTGCTTTTCAGTATCAGACATTATAAACCAAGGGAAATAAAAGTGTCTTTTCTGCAACCTTTTTATACCTTTCTGCATCCATGTAGTGTTTGTCTTTTACTATCCTCTTCAGGCTTTGAATTCTGGAACAACCAGACACTGTAAAAAAAAAAAAAAGACTCTTTTTATCTTTTTCTTTTTTAATTTTTTTTAAGACTCTTTTTACCTTGATAAACAAAACCATAGTCCATTATTTGGCTTACATATGCATACTTCTCTGTCACCATTGTTCCCAGTATAGTATCAAAGTAACTAACTTCTATTTCACAGAGAAAATTAGAGGATAAATAATCAAGAATTGTCATATATAAGCATTTTAACAAACTAGCAAAGCTCACAAATACACATATCACACATTTTACAGCCAATCACTTCCCTTCTACATATTCCTACACTGGAAAAACTAAATATATTTATTAACATGACTCAAATAGATAGATATTCCTTAGCATGTATATACATTTACAATTATGTTTAATATCTATGCTTTAAAATGTAGTCATACTTAAAATTATCTGGGTGTCCAGTGGTTATTTATTAATTCATTCAATATTAGTTTAAAGCTTTATGTTATCTAGGAATAACATGTTATCTAAGGATATTATGTTCAAGCTAATACATTATAAATACTACTGATGATAAGTTTCCGGATAAAAACTAAAATTAATTGAACAACAAGTAACATTTTTATAGTCTTCGTATTATATAGGAATAACAGCTTTTTCTTGATAAATAATCCAATATAAAATATTTAGAACTTTTAACTCAACTAGTTTCTTTATGAGAAAACAAACTTTAATTTTACAAAAACAAAATATTTTCTTGTATTTTATGCTGATAAATTTTAGGAAATGCCACATAGCTGATTTTTTTTTCTTTCTTAAACCTGAATTATGAAACCAAGGATTCATCTTAATTGTGTAAATGTGTGTTCTTATGTAAAATATTTTTGAGCTGGTGGTTTCTATAAGAATTTTTTTTTCTTAAAAGTCCCACATATTTTAATTTTATAAGATCAATTCCCTCATTTTATGAATATTTTGAAAATATTATCTCTATGAATCAATATGAACAGAGCTCCTTTAATTCAAGATACATTATAATCTAATTTAGTAAACCCTTTGGGGGTAGGAAAACATTTCATATTCAACAAAAAGAATTCAAAGTCTTCTTGAATTATAGACATACACACATAGTGAGTGCTTATAATCTCAGGTATTGATCAAATCAACATAGAAACACAAAAATTCACTGTCCAGAGTTTTTCTCCTCTTCAGTGGCCACAAAATTCTTAATTGATTTGAGCTTGCAAATAGTCAAACAGGTGACTAACAGATTAGCTAACAGACTATGTTGTTTTTCATCTAACAGCAAAAAGATCTATACCACCTATCCAACAGAAATCATCAAATGGCCAGACCATAAAACCAAATTCCCAATCATTGCTGCCACCAAATATTGAATAACTTATGAGCTGCATATGGTAGAGAAAAAAAGCAAAACCACAAAATTAATAGGAAATGGGGAGAAAACCTAGAGAATCAGTGAACTTAAAACTCTTGCCATATGGAAGAAGCAAAAAAGAAAAACAAAGATCCAATTTCCATGCTTAAATAGCCCGCTTCTCCAGCCATGCATTTTACTTGACTCTTCCAGTAAGTCCTCTTGATTACCTTGGTGCAACAAAATTGGTGTACCAAATTTCTTTGTCAGTTGACTTAAAAAAAAAAAACCTTTTTATTGTGGCATATTTCAAATATGGAAATATATATATATATATATATGTATATATATATATATGATAGTATAATGAAATCCACATACCATTACTGAGCTTTAGCAATTGTCACGTCAATTTTCTTTCACCTAAATCCATACCCAGTTTCCCCTGAATCCCACCTCTGCTCCTGTAATTTACCATACTATATCGTCAAGTATATGGCAGACTTTAAATGTCACCTGTAATTATGTCTTGTGTATAGTTTGTTTGGTTCAGAATATAAACTAGGTCCACACGTTGCCTTTAGTTGATATATATCTGGTCTCATTGAATCTATGGATTCGTCTTCTATTTTTTTTCTTTGCCTTTTATTTGTTTAAGAAACTGGGTCATTGATACCTTGAACTTTTCCATAATCTATATTTTGCTGACTGCACCACCATAGTTTAGTTTAATACTGTTCTCTGTCCCCTATATTATCCAGTAATTATATCTAGCTATTTGGCTAGATTCAGTTTTGATTTATTGGCAAGAATTCTGCATAAGTTAAATTGTATTCTTCCATCAGGATGTACTTTGTCTCTCTTTTTTGTCATACTAAAACCAATCAGTGGCTTCAGATGTCAGCCTGAAACTTCCATGATTAAGCTTCCTTTTAGCTCTTTAGCTAATGATTTTAAGTTCATGATCAATGTTAGATCAATATTATTTCATTGAGGATTGCAAAATAGTGATACCCTATCATACCTTTATGATTTATTAGCTGGAATAGTTCTATTAAGGAAAAGGTTTTTTTTTTTTTTGAAAAACGAAGTGACATAACTAAAGTTGTACAATAGGAGAATACATCTGATATTGATATGAAAAATGGGCACGAAGGTGAGGTACTAGGGACAAAGACAGAATTCAGAAATTCTATGAGTTTTCACCCTGACAGGCAAAGGGTGACATGTAAAAGGTAAACGGGAAGGATGAAATTGACAAAAAAAAAAAAAAAAAAGCACCAAATGAAACTAGAACTGGCAATTGGCTGACCAGCAAGAAGGAAGAAAATGAGAAATGTTGGTGCCGCTAATAGGGATGCACCGGACTAGCTCTTTGGAGAGAGGAGAGATGACAGATGTTACGTGTCTGTTTTCATCTGTTAACACAGGCCTTCTCTCCATGCTGCCTTTTCTGTTGCTTTGGGCAGTCTGATTTTTTAAGACCTTCACAGTGATTTCTGTCAATTCCCTCAGGGACCTCCTTCATGATCTAATATTTTTCACCATCTGTAAGTGGAAAGATTTCGACATCAAATCAGAATTTTTATTTTCTACTTTCTCCTCTATGAGCTGCAAACACAATCATTTCAGGGGTTTACGGCTAGGCATTTTGATCCTTTTAAGTTTGAGGGGCCATTGGGATGACTCAGCTAATTTGGAATTCAGAGGGTTGTCTCTGAGGGTCTTTAAAATATACAAACAAGGGCATTTTATTACATTCCACTGCCCCTACTTAACCTTTTTTTTTCCTACCCCCTTACAATACTCTTCTCCCTCTTGTGTTCTTCAATTACTGAGCTGTCACTTCCGAGCTTGGCTTCCTGCTCAAGTAACCTATATGGACAGTATTTAGTTCTATGGGTCTTTGCCCATAAATCACTCTCCCACTTTCTTTCTTTTTTATAAAGTTTTTTTAAAAAAGATTTTATTTATTTATTCATGAGAAACACACAGAGAGAGGCAGAAACATAGGCAGGGGGAGAAGCAGGCTCCTTGTGGGGAGCCTGATGTGAGACTTGGTCCCAGGACCCCGGGATCAAGACCTGAGTCAAAGGCAGATGCTCAACCACTGAGCCACCTTGGTGCCCCTCCCACTTTCTAATCATATATGTTCCTATTCTTTTAACTCCCTTGAGTTAATCTATACTGTTCTGGCATCATTATGCCCATGGCTGTCTTCAGGATTCCAAAGCATTTATCAGAGACACTTAAAAAGAGATTTTTTTTTCTTTTTCCTCCATTTGGTCACCTTTCATTGGCTTCCATTGCCTTGTCTATCAACCCATTAATTCCTTAATGTTTATCAGTGTTCTTCCCCATTACTAGGAAAGTCACATTCAGCCTAAGAGCGTAGATTTCGAAAATGAGGAAATAGTTTACTTCTGCTTTATTCTGTTTGTACTGCTGCTCAGTTGAGCATTTAATTCAGAGAAATGTCATTCCATTTGTATCACAACATAAATAATAGACATTTTTCCTTAAAAGCTGTTAGAAATTGAACTTTTTAAGTGAGATCTTTATATAGTTATACTAGTTGAACTGAATACATAAAATACTGTATATAGAGACTCTCTTGAAAAGAAACCCTTCTTGGGGCACATGGATGGCTTAGTGGTTGAGTGTTTGCCTTTGGCTCAAGTCATGATCCCAGGGTCCTGGGATCAATTCCTGCTTCTCCCTCTGCCTGTGTCTCTGCCTCTCTGTGTGTCTTTCATGAATAAATAAATAAAATCTTTCTTCAAAAAAAAAAAAAAAAAGAAACCATTTTTAATATTGAATAATACATCCCAAACCAATTTGTTGGGTTTTTGCATATTGGATTTTCTTTAAAAGGGATGGGAGTCTGAGGAACACCCCTATTTTTATTTCTTTTTTAATTTTTTAAATTGATTAATTAATTTATTTATTTATGATAGTCACACACAGAGAGAGAGAGAGAGAGGCAGAGACATAGGCAGAAGGAGAAGCAGGCTCCATGCATCAGGAGCCCGATGTGGGATTCGATCCCAGGTCTCCAGGATCGCGCCCTGGGCCAAAGGCAGGTGCCAAACCGCTGCGCCACCCAGGGATCCCCCTATTTTTATTTCTAATATACTTTTTTAAAAAGTAACATTCAAACACAGAACAGAGTATTAACTAATGCCAATCAGTAGGATTTTTAAGAATAAAGGGCAGAGCATGAGATGGATTGGTCACTTACCTTCCAGGGGAAATGCCTGCTTTGGAAAAGAGAAAGTATCAATAGCATGGTAGACATAGTATGTTTTAGTACAGTGTGGTGCTCTGTCCTTTGTCCCTCATCACTAGCAGAGAAAGACAGTTACTGAGAAAGATGGGTTTTATATTTGGAGCTGGTCCAGGGCTTAGAAATGGTGAGGAATTAATTATGTGACATATTCTATGATTCCTCAAACTGTGGAGAAACAATTGGTATGTCATAATATCCATCTTTTGGGGAGTTTATAAAATAGACTGAGTGACCTCTGAAACATCTGGAAAAAAATGTGGTGAACACTTCTATCCATATTCTCTAAAAGAAGGCAGACCAACTATACAATTTATATAGAGAACTTAGCCCATGGGACACCTAATATGGGAGCTAGCCTCACCTGCCC